GGGTTAAAGTTTGTGAGTCATAGACAAACCACATCCAGAAAATGATTTCTACTTACCATTGTACCACCCTTATTGTGCCTTCTTTTTTGTTGACCAACATTCCACCTTGTACTTATATTTCTTTATGACCCAGATAGTACAACATCTACAAACTGTTTCTTGAGTGGAACCATCCACCAAAACATTATAAATTTTCAGTACTTTCCAAATTATTTCTAGGACACTCAGCACTGATAACTATGGAATTCAGTAATTAACAATTTAAGAGTACCAAAACAACAGCCAATCCAGAAAACATGAAGTTACTTAATTCAGGAAACATGTAGGATATTCAACAACATAAATAGTGGGACAATTAAATTATATTACAAATGTCATTTTCAACTGTAGTGGTCCAGTATAAATACGTAACATCATTAAATTAAATAATCAAGCATAAGTTTCATAAGTTCTGCAAGGTAAAAAAAGTTAAAGATTGAGAAATTAAACAGACCTCACACCAGTCTAAGCAATCAATTGTTTCCACATCCAAATGTTGACCACGTTGGGTAGCACTAGCTACATTACGTAATGCACGCCACATGACAAGTGGTTCCCAGCTTAAACCAGAAGTGCACTCAAGCACATTGCTGACAATGACAGGTTCCCCCTTTTCCCAGTGCCACTGAAAATGATTTAAATCCTTGTCCTGTAGATCTACAGCCTTAGGACAGAATAAATAGTTGTCGGCCAAATTATCACGAGAAGCAGCCTTCCTCATATTACTATTCCTAACATCTGTGTTTCTATCCAGCCCCAAACACGAACAGAAGCTGTCAGGGGGCTTAAATACATTCTGAATCTTGTATGCCTGCACAAGTTCTTTCCCTTTACAAACTAACTCAGAGATAAAATGTTGACCTAATATACTTCTCAGTTCAAGAAAACCATGGTTGCATTCATTGTTGACTTTTGGACAAGGAATGCTACCATTATTATGGGAATGCCACCTGGATCTTGACCATTCGTGAACCTCGGGCTTAGCACCTGCATCCCATGCAATTTGGTTTACCTCTTCAAATTCTTTTCCAGCATGCAAGTAATCACGTCCTTGCCAAACAAACTCCAACACAATTGGATCTGCTCCACCTACAAGCTGCCCACTACGAAGCTCACGTCAACAGATGAGACAAAGGTCAAAAGAGCATTTTGTGCAGCTTCTGTGGTAATCGAATATTGAAGTTTTGCAGTTGTCACTACATGAGAGTGTTAAGTTAACAACTAAGGAATATGGGATAACTGAGGAATAAAAGATCAGAAATCAGAAAATTCCCAACCAGTACACACGCTCTTCTAAAGAGAAATCTGCCTTAAATATATTTAGCTCGGAGACTGGGAGCCCTGTAGTGCACATCCCAAAAGCAAATTATACAATGCAAAAATATGGATATTGTACTGAAATGACTGGGGTGTGAGATGACATATAAACTCAAGCTATGCTGCTAAAGTGCATACAAGAAAAAAAGTTCAAAATATGTAACTGATCCAAAAGAGAGGGAGAGAGAATTAATTCTGAAATAAAGAACCAAGACCAGTAAATACTCGCTAGAATAACAAACTAGAAGGGAAACTAGATAAGTAGGACATGAAACAGTCGGCAGTTCAAAAGCTAAAAGGTTATCCATGATTGTGAAACAGATAATTCTCTCTTATTGCATTCAAACTTCAGTGCATAGAGATCTGTGGCTTCAGGCATCACTTAGTTGTGTGTAGCATAACTTGTATTGTAATTTAGCACAAATACACTAATCAAATCTAGCTTTGCTTCAGCATTAATTTAATCTCTTTAAAGAGGTAGCATAATTCACACAAGAATAAGCTTAACCAAGTCTCCCACAGGAAAACATAATACCTTGTATCTTAGCTTCTGTCTCTTTCTCAATCATCTGTTCTTCATCCAGCTGCCTTAAAAACGGAAGAAGTACTTGCAGCAAATACAAAGAGTGTTCAACCTTCTCACCCTCATCTCCTGTAGCCTTATCCTTCATTTTCTACAGTAAACCGAACAGAAAAATTTCAATGCCGAATACAGAAAATCACAGGAAAAAAGCCAATGTATAGAAGGGGGGAAAACCTAACATTAATAAGTTGAACAGAACTCAGGCATGCTTTGCAATTGCAATTACGACGGCACACAGGACATGCCTCAGCAATATCCTCCTCTTTCAAATGAGGATACCTTAACAAGATCAAAAAATGAAAACATTGGTCAAGTAATCATCTTTCATGACAAAACTCCGCAATAACTTCTCATTTCAGGGCAATGATCTCGCAACTGTCCCTATCATTTAAGACTTTTCTCTCAGCTAGCCGCCCATGCAATATTTTAAACACGACAAGAAAAGGAGAAAAAAGAAAGAAAGGCAAAATTATACCAAGCTCGTAAGCAGAATAGGCAAAACTTTTTCTTGTTACAGTCCAAGCACCCTACAACACGACCTTTATCGTTTCTCTTACATTGGTGGCATGTTAAGCGCTCCTTTTCACCATTCTGTTGATTGAGAAACAGAATCAAGACATCAAATGCAATGCTTTGCGCAAAGACAAACTCAAACAGCATCCACATTTGAATGATAAATCATGTCACCTTAGTAGCCTTTTTCTTGATGACTTTTGACATCGTCTCTTCTTTACGACCCCTAAGACCATACGGTTTCTCAGCGCCAGACATTTGAAGCTCACCATTCCCATCGTCCTTCTTTCTTTTCCTACTTGGTCTCTGCACAGAAACCCCACCCTCCTCCTCAGCAGCATCTAACATTCTCTTCTTTCTCATGTCTTCCTTATCCTTTTTACTTTTTCTGCCGGGCTTCTTTTTCACTCTTTGAACACGACCGGAATCCAAAGACTGTGTTTCTTCGTGACTGGGATTTGGATTTGCATCCACACGAGGATCTGGATTCCCTTGCCCCATTGGAAAGAGACAAGAAGTTTCAAACTGAACCCTAGCTTCGTTTACCCGGGTTCAGTCCTATGTCATCTCACAGCTTTATTGCGCACACGTGGACCCAACCCTTCGTCCACACGTGCTATATTTCTTTCCCGATATTTCAGTTTATCACCTCACTACATTAGTAATAATACTATAAATATATACGTATGTATATTTATCTTTTTGTTTTATAGTGTTTAATATCAATTACGAAATTAATTAATTAGTAATATTATATTTCTAATTGTATCGTTTACATTATCAATTACTTCTTTTTTTCTTTACTAAATTGATATTCAACCTTCTATTCAATCATACTGAAATAGTTACGAATTTTTTAAACAAACAAAATTTTGTTGCTTTGCTCGTAAAACTTTCATCTACATTACTCCCTGACTAAAGACTCCAAAATATTATCCTTCTTTAACATATGTTCAATTCTAAAAAAAAAATGTATATTTCTTTTAAACAAAATATATAAATAACAGGAAATTTTTCAGTATATATATCTTAAATATATATATATATATATATATATATATATATATATAATTATGGCATATGAACACTAAAAATTATAGTAAATTTATTTATTTTTAAAAGTTATATTATAAATTTTTATAAAGATTTAAATAAATTTTGTAGTAATTATTTAAGATAATTGAGCTTCATGAGTCAATATATGATATGGTATCATTTCATACATTGAGTTGAATACTCGTGTTAGTCATGTACATGTTATGACTCATTAAATTTAACATCAACAACAACATTTTTATTATACAAAACTCAACATTCTTATCACAAACCATCATGGGTTAATTCATTATGTTCTTTAAGTCACGGTATTATTTAATACTGATTCTGAAAACTGAAAACATTTTTCTACTCTCATCACTTAAACCATATTCTCTGTGTGAGTATAAAAGTTTAGTTGAATTAGGATGAGTTCACTCTATAAATTCAAACTTATTACAATAGTACCTTATTGAATATAACATCACTCCTTAGAAATGATTATATTAATAAAATTCTCACAGTATATTCGCATCACATGATCTCTTGCATTCCCTCACTCCAAGAATTCTCATATAATTCATTTTCACTAAGTCATAAAAAGTCATCATAGAAAATTTCATATCATATCAATTAAGTTGCAATAAGATATTAATCAGTCAACTCATCCTTTAACATTAGACACAAATAAACTTATATGGCTTTGGTTTCAGAGATGTATACATATGGTATTAGTGTTCTTGTAAAATCTTGCATATGTCATAAATTTTTAATACAATAGATTCAACATCAATAACAACATTTCCCTTTATCCCAAAATAATCATTCTTATCACAAATACCATCATGACAAGGTTAGCTCCCTTACATCCTTTAAGTTAAAGTATTATTTTGTATTGGTCCTATAGACTTGGAGCCTTCTTGACAAGACACACATATATACATAAATCTCAAAACTGACAAGATATTGTTCGCTTTGGACCAAGCCCTCACGGATTTGCTTTTGGTATCACTCCAAAAGACCTCTTACCAATTGAGGTATCTTATGTGTATATAAACCCATGTTCGTCTCTTAATTTATCGGATGTGAGACTTTGTTTGTACCCAACATAACTATACATCAAATATTTATAACATAATGATGCTTACATATTTAAATCTCAAAACTATTTATATATGCAACAAGGGATAAAAAGTAGGAAATAAACTACCCATCCACTCAAAATAATTGCACACACCACTATTTCTCACTACAATTACTTTTTTCTTTTTTTGTTTTTCATACGAATATAATCGGTAATATGTATTGCTTTTTTATTATTATTTTAATTCAAATTATGAATTACGTATCAAATAAAAAATATATTTTTATTTAACTAATTTATACATTATAAAAATAAAATTAATATGAATATTATATTTTAAGTTAATAAAGTGAAATAATGTAATGAAAAATATATAAGTGCTTGTGTTTTTTTCAGTATGTGTATATACGAAAAAACAAAAGCGTCATTTTCATTCTCCATTTAGGAGGCTTTCCCCTTTTGTCACTTTCCACATAAACCTGGAGGCATTAACCATAGACTTCCTTCTTTTAAATTCCTCATTCTCTTTCCCACGCAGACACTCTTCCTCTAAATTCTGTTTCACCAACCTCTTACAGGTGAGTCCCTCCCTCGATTTCTTATTCCTTTTAATTAGCATAGCTCTTTATGCTCACGCAATTTCTAAATGTGTAATTCCAATGTCTCCAAATCACTTCGGACACTAGATTTCTGTTCACAAAGGTGTGGAAAATGATTCACATTCGTTGTCAAAATTCCAAAATGAGTTTAGCAAGACACTCTTGGGGGCGAATATGTAATTTAACTGACAGTTATTTTCTCGGTGTTCATGTCTCTGATCTGAGAATTTTGGTTTTCTACCGGTGATTCCTGCTATAATGTGTGGAAAACTCAGTTGAATTTTGTATTCTCTGTTAATATGCGGGCTGTGAATTTTTTGGCTGAAGGTCTGTATAGTTGTATGGAAGATCAAATCCTATCTGTAATGAGATTCTAGAGTTAAAATGGCAACGACAGTTAACATTATTGCATTACATATTTTTCAGGCATGAGCAAGGGACAGAGAGCGTGTTATCTGAAAGACTGAAACTAATAAAATTGAAATTTGGGAGTTACATTCAGACTGCAATTGTATTCGCTATCTCCTTTGAAAATTATTTATGTTCCACCTTTTTTTTTCTGGCATTGTATTTCTTTTGTTTCTTGTGTTTTTTATTTTTAATGGGCTCTATTTTTTTCATGTGCTTCAGAAAAAATGCCTGAAGATCAGTTAAGCAGACGTACTATTAAATCACATGGAGCTAAAGTTGCAAGGAGACATATGCAGGACTGGTTGATTCTTTTGCTTCTTGCTATCATTGATGCTATCTTGAATGTGATAGAGCCATTTCACCGTTTTGTTGGACAGGGGATGATGACCGACCTAAGTTACCCATTGAAAGACAATACTATACCCTTTTGGGCTGTACCAGTACGTTTTTGCTTCTAAGAACTACATCCTTGTCAAAATTGACCTTAATGGACATTCAATATATGAATTCTGGAATTTCAAATTTAAAATTGACAGATAGTAGCAATATTGTTGCCAATAGTCGTCATTCTTGTTTACTATTTCTTCCGAAAGGATGTTTATGACTTCCACCATGCTATTCTGGGTACCTTTCTCACCTTCAGAAATCTTTTCCTGTCCTTATTTAAACATTACTCTGTTTTAACCTATCCTATGCATTGCCAAATGCTATTCAGGCCTTTTATTCTCTGTACTCATTACTGCGGTGATAACCGATGCTATCAAAGATGGTGTGGGACGGCCACGCCCAGACTTCTTCTGGCGTTGTTTCCCTGATGGGAAAGGGGTGGGTTCTCAATTTTATATACCGAATTTCCTAATTAATACCTTTACCACGTGATACGTAGTTGGTTTTACTTAGTGGTATGCTCAAGAAACATGGTGTTGATTCATGATATGTTCAGGAGTTTGATCCAGTAACAACGGATGTCAGATGTACAGGAGACAAGGCTGTTATTAGAGAAGGGCACAAAAGTTTTCCGAGTGGACATACCTCTTGTAAGTACTAAGAACAACCTCGGGTTCGGTTAGGACAATGGAAAAGAGGGAGTTACAAATTATTAATGTTCAATTTACAAATGAGAATACATCTGAATCTTCTCTTGCACTCTCCTAGTTATTTAACACATTAATTCTCTGACTAACTAATTAGTATGGTAACTGTTGCAACTAACTCTTTCCTTCCCGCAGTCCTAACCGGGTCTCTATGGGACCTCAGTTTTTATTTTGATATATAGTATAAATCCTCCTCTATGTTTTACATTTCATTGGAAACAGTGGTCTCATTTCTTCTTTAAGTCAGCATAGGTATAAATTGATAATCTTCAGCTTCATTTCAAAAAGCATACCATGTTTTAGAAGAAACAGGGTTCAAAGTTGAAGTTAGAATTGAATATTCATTGATCAAAGTTCACTCCATCATAGTATGATATTTTTTTTTGAAGAACTGATAATTAAATGATATTAAAAACTGAGTTCCATTTACAAGTCTATATTGTCAAGGATAAAATTTTTTCTATGTAAATAAATATAATAGGAATTACACTGCTGGAAATTATCATTGGGCATTTAAGGTGTGTTGAAAAGACCTATTTATATAGTTTGTTCTCCTTTTATAATAATATATGCTAAAAGAAAAATCAAATTATTGGTATACAGGGTCCTTTGCTGGTCTTGGTTTTCTTGCATGGTATCTATCTGGGAAAATTAAGGTGTTTGACCGTAGGGGTCATGTTGCAAAGCTTTGTATAGTGTTCTTTCCCCTTCTCGTGGCATCTATGATTGCTGTCTCTCGTGTTGATGACTATTGGCATCATTGGCAAGATGTTTGTGCTGGAGGGCTTATAGGTACGTTGAAGACTGGATTTTCTTTGTTTGATTTATTAACATATAAAAGTTCCTTTCTCCAGACATTTTTATACGAGATTTTATGCAGGTTTGACAATCGCTTCCTTTTGTTACTTGCAATTCTTTCCACCTCCATATGATAAAGACGGTATGTCCACAAATTTATTCTTCCAAACTTTTATTATATGTTTGTATTGTGGCCTAACATGTGCTTTCTTAGTGTGTTGGTGGGATTATTGCTACAGTTTGTTACTAAATAGTTTATTTTTTATCAACAATAATATATACACACACACGTAGATGACTTTGTGTACTCAAACTGTATACATAGTTCTAATATATATATAGAGAGATCTAATAGTACAAAACATGCCATGCCTACTCCTAATTAATGCTATGAGACCTCTCCTAATCTAGCCAAAGGTGTCCTTCAAGCTTGCATCTTATCGCTGCTAACCATCTAACTTCAATTATGATGTTATCAGCTGCATACATTACATATCTCATGACATTCTTTGTTCCTTCCTTTACAATCGGCCCAGCCTAGTCACTAGTCTCTAGCTTCAAAAACACTCATTTTGTATCTTTTGTATTTCACTCAAACACTTCCTTGAACTTGCTTCCTTTGGATTACTTGGGCAATGATGTTCACTGTTAAAATGTCATCTGCAGCAACTAATAAGAAGAGCTCCAGACAATGGAGTCTGCGTGTGGTTGCTTTAAAACTTAAAATACAATAAGATTAATGGCTCCCTCCATTACTTGAGTTGTTTGTTGCATCATTGTATATCCTTCTTTAAAACAGCGTGTATAATAAGTGTTCCAAGTGTACTGTGACTACATTTAGTGTCTTCCTATCTGTTTTGGTTACTTTGCCCACTGTTACAGTCGGTGCAATTTTCTGAGTATGATGAGGACCGGAACTATACATGACCTTGTTCTTCTCTTTATAATCTTCTAGCTATCTTCTGTAGCTCGTTAAACTTTAAAATTATTGTCTAGGGTGGTTCTTCTGTAGATTTTTTTTTTCACAACCTCCTAATGTTTTTACGTTTTTATGTCAATGTGAATTTCTTTTGTAGGATGGGGACCTCGTGAATATTTCCAAGCATTGGTTGATTCTAATACTTCTTCGAATTCTTCGAACAGCAACGACAATATTTGTGCTCAACAAACTGAGGTTCAGATTGTATCTTTGTGTATCCCACCCCACCATGATGGTGATGCACGAGTAATTAATAGATTGAACTCCAACCCCACGTTAGATGAATCACAAATTGCACGGGTACACTGACTTACGGTACATTAACGATGTATGTTACAAAATAAAGTTCAATTAAAATTCTTTTGTAAAACAATGCCATAGTATATTGACGGTTACAAAATGCACTATATCAATTACTTAGCTTGAGAGATGTTGGTTGGAATAGAAATATCTTACTATTTTACATTGAAACAATAGAGGTAGNAAATATATATATATATATATATATATATATATATATATAATTATGGCATATGAACACTAAAAATTATAGTAAATTTATTTATTTTTAAAAGTTATATTATAAATTTTTATAAAGATTTAAATAAATTTTGTAGTAATTATTTAAGATAATTGAGCTTCATGAGTCAATATATGATATGGTATCATTTCATACATTGAGTTGAATACTCGTGTTAGTCATGTACATGTTATGACTCATTAAATTTAACATCAACAACAACATTTTTATTATACAAAACTCAACATTCTTATCACAAACCATCATGGGTTAATTCATTATGTTCTTTAAGTCACGGTATTATTTAATACTGATTCTGAAAACTGAAAACATTTTTCTACTCTCATCACTTAAACCATATTCTCTGTGTGAGTATAAAAGTTTAGTTGAATTAGGATGAGTTCACTCTATAAATTCAAACTTATTACAATAGTACCTTATTGAATATAACATCACTCCTTAGAAATGATTATATTAATAAAATTCTCACAGTATATTCGCATCACATGATCTCTTGCATTCCCTCACTCCAAGAATTCTCATATAATTCATTTTCACTAAGTCATAAAAAGTCATCATAGAAAATTTCATATCATATCAATTAAGTTGCAATAAGATATTAATCAGTCAACTCATCCTTTAACATTAGACACAAATAAACTTATATGGCTTTGGTTTCAGAGATGTATACATATGGTATTAGTGTTCTTGTAAAATCTTGCATATGTCATAAATTTTTAATACAATAGATTCAACATCAATAACAACATTTCCCTTTATCCCAAAATAATCATTCTTATCACAAATACCATCATGACAAGGTTAGCTCCCTTACATCCTTTAAGTTAAAGTATTATTTTGTATTGGTCCTATAGACTTGGAGCCTTCTTGACAAGACACACATATATACATAAATCTCAAAACTGACAAGATATTGTTCGCTTTGGACCAAGCCCTCACGGATTTGCTTTTGGTATCACTCCAAAAGACCTCTTACCAATTGAGGTATCTTATGTGTATATAAACCCATGTTCGTCTCTTAATTTATCGGATGTGAGACTTTGTTTGTACCCAACATAACTATACATCAAATATTTATAACATAATGATGCTTACATATTTAAATCTCAAAACTATTTATATATGCAACAAGGGATAAAAAGTAGGAAATAAACTACCCATCCACTCAAAATAATTGCACACACCACTATTTCTCACTACAATTACTTTTTTCTTTTTTTGTTTTTCATACGAATATAATCGGTAATATGTATTGCTTTTTTATTATTATTTTAATTCAAATTATGAATTACGTATCAAATAAAAAATATATTTTTATTTAACTAATTTATACATTATAAAAATAAAATTAATATGAATATTATATTTTAAGTTAATAAAGTGAAATAATGTAATGAAAAATATATAAGTGCTTGTGTTTTTTTCAGTATGTGTATATACGAAAAAACAAAAGCGTCATTTTCATTCTCCATTTAGGAGGCTTTCCCCTTTTGTCACTTTCCACATAAACCTGGAGGCATTAACCATAGACTTCCTTCTTTTAAATTCCTCATTCTCTTTCCCACGCAGACACTCTTCCTCTAAATTCTGTTTCACCAACCTCTTACAGGTGAGTCCCTCCCTCGATTTCTTATTCCTTTTAATTAGCATAGCTCTTTATGCTCACGCAATTTCTAAATGTGTAATTCCAATGTCTCCAAATCACTTCGGACACTAGATTTCTGTTCACAAAGGTGTGGAAAATGATTCACATTCGTTGTCAAAATTCCAAAATGAGTTTAGCAAGACACTCTTGGGGGCGAATATGTAATTTAACTGACAGTTATTTTCTCGGTGTTCATGTCTCTGATCTGAGAATTTTGGTTTTCTACCGGTGATTCCTGCTATAATGTGTGGAAAACTCAGTTGAATTTTGTATTCTCTGTTAATATGCGGGCTGTGAATTTTTTGGCTGAAGGTCTGTATAGTTGTATGGAAGATCAAATCCTATCTGTAATGAGATTCTAGAGTTAAAATGGCAACGACAGTTAACATTATTGCATTACATATTTTTCAGGCATGAGCAAGGGACAGAGAGCGTGTTATCTGAAAGACTGAAACTAATAAAATTGAAATTTGGGAGTTACATTCAGACTGCAATTGTATTCGCTATCTCCTTTGAAAATTATTTATGTTCCACCTTTTTTTTTCTGGCATTGTATTTCTTTTGTTTCTTGTGTTTTTTATTTTTAATGGGCTCTATTTTTTTCATGTGCTTCAGAAAAAATGCCTGAAGATCAGTTAAGCAGACGTACTATTAAATCACATGGAGCTAAAGTTGCAAGGAGACATATGCAGGACTGGTTGATTCTTTTGCTTCTTGCTATCATTGATGCTATCTTGAATGTGATAGAGCCATTTCACCGTTTTGTTGGACAGGGGATGATGACCGACCTAAGTTACCCATTGAAAGACAATACTATACCCTTTTGGGCTGTACCAGTACGTTTTTGCTTCTAAGAACTACATCCTTGTCAAAATTGACCTTAATGGACATTCAATATATGAATTCTGGAATTTCAAATTTAAAATTGACAGATAGTAGCAATATTGTTGCCAATAGTCTTCATTCTTGTTTACTATTTCTTCCGAAAGGATGTTTATGACTTCCACCATGCTATTCTGGGTACCTTTCTCACCTTCAGAAATCTTTTCCTGTCCTTATTTAAACATTACTCTGTTTTAACCTATCCTATGCATTGTCAAATGCTATTCAGGCCTTTTATTCTCTGTACTCATTACTGCGGTGATAACCGATGCTATCAAAGATGGTGTGGGACGGCCACGCCCAGACTTCTTCTGGCGTTGTTTCCCTGATGGGAAAGGGGTGGGTTCTCAATTTTATATACCGAATTTCCTAATTAATACCTTTACCACGTGATACGTAGTTGGTTTTACTTAGTGGTATGCTCAAGAAACATGGTGTTGATTCATGATATGTTCAGGAGTTTGATCCAGTAACAACGGATGTCAGATGTACAGGAGACAAGGCTGTTATTAGAGAAGGGCACAAAAGTTTTCCGAGTGGACATACCTCTTGTAAGTACTAAGAACAACCTCGGGTTCTTTTAGGACAATGGAAAAGAGGGAGTTACAAATTATTAATGTTCAATTTACAAATGAGAATACATCTGAATCTTCTCTTGCACTCTCCTAGTTATTTAACACATTAATTCTCTGACTAACTAATTAGTATGGTAACTGTTGCAACTAACTCTTTCCTTCCCGCAGTCCTAACCGGGTCTCTATGGGACCTCAGTTTTTATTTTGATATATAGTATAAATCCTCCTCTATGTTTTACATTTCATTGGAAACAGTGGTCTCATTTCTTCTTTAAGTCAGCATAGGTATAAATTGATAATCTTCAGCTTCATTTCAAAAAGCATACCATGTTTTAGAAGAAACAGGGTTCAAAGTTGAAGTTAGAATTGAATATTCATTGATCAAAGTTCACTCCATCATAGTATGATATTTTTTTTTGAAGAACTGATAATTAAATGATATTAAAAACTGAGTTCCATTTACAAGTCTATATTGTCAAGGATAAAATTTTTTCTATGTAAATAAATATAATAGGAATTACACTGCTGGAAATTATCATTGGGCATTTAAGGTGTGTTGAAAAGACCTATTTATATAGTTTGTTCTCCTTTTATAATAATATATGCTAAAAGAAAAATCAAATTATTGGTATACAGGNACAGTATATTCGCATCACATGATCTCTTGCATTCCCTCACTCCAAGAATTCTCATATAATTCATTTTCACTAAGTCATAAAAAGTCATCATAGAAAATTTCATATCATATCAATTAAGTTGCAATAAGATATTAATCAGTCAACTCATCCTTTAACATTAGACACAAATAAACTTATATGGCTTTGGTTTCAGAGATGTATACATATGGTATTAGTGTTCTTGTAAAATCTTGCATATGTCATAAATTTTTAATACAATAGATTCAACATCAATAACAACATTTCCCTTTATCCCAAAATAATCATTCTTATCACAAATACCATCATGACAAGGTTAGCTCCCTTACATCCTTTAAGTTAAAGTATTATTTTGTATTGGTCCTATAGACTTGGAGCCTTCTTGACAAGACACACATATATACATAAATCTCAAAACTGACAAGATATTGTTCGCTTTGGACCAAGCCCTCACGGATTTGCTTTTGGTATCACTCCAAAAGACCTCTTACCAATTGAGGTATCTTATGTGTATATAAACCCATGTTCGTCTCTTAATTTATCGGATGTGAGACTTTGTTTGTACCCAACATAACTATACATCAAATATTTATAACATAATGATGCTTACATATTTAAATCTCAAAACTATTTATATATGCAACAAGGGATAAAAAGTAGGAAATAAACTACCCATCCACTCAAAATAATTGCACACACCACTATTTCTCACTACAATTACTTTTTTCTTTTTTTGTTTTTCATACGAATATAATCGGTAATATGTATTGCTTTTTTATTATTATTTTAATTCAAATTATGAATTACGTATCAAATAAAAAATATATTTTTATTTAACTAATTTATATATTATAAAAATAAAATTAATATGAATATTATATTTTAAGTTAATAAAGTGAAATAATGTAATGAAAAATATATAAGTGCTTGTGTTTTTTTCAGTATGTGTATATACGAAAAAACAAAAGCGTCATTTTCATTCTCCATTTAGGAGGCTTTCCCCTTTTGTCACTTTCCACATAAACCTGGAGGCATTAACCATAGACTTCCTTCTTTTAAATTCCTCATTCTCTTTCCCACGCAGACACTCTTCCTCTAAATTCTGTTTCACCAACCTCTTACAGGTTAGTCCCTCCCTCGATTTCTTATTCCTTTTAATTAGCATAGCTCTTTATGCTCACGCAATTTCTAAATGTGTAATTCCAATGTCTCCAAATCACTTCGGACACTAGATTTCTGTT